GGCAGGGGGGTTGGTTTGGGTTCTTTGACGCCCAATTATATTTCATTGTGTTTTTGTTCTTTATGTTGCTGCTGGTTTCAATAGCAGTATAATGTGTTCTTCATTCTAAAAATGATTGTTTGATGCTCTGTATCTTAGAAAGTTTAATTAGAACTGCGTTCAGTAGGGTACCATGCCTTTCTTGCCAGGAGATGAAGACTCATTAGGACTTAGGAACTCAATTACACATTGATAGCTAATCTGAGTCAGATAGGAAGGAGAAAAGAGAGAAAAATTAAATCAGGAGTAATGACTTAATTACCCAAATTATCCGCCAGAATGTAAGGAATGGGGAATTTCCACCTGGTGGTTGGGTCCCTCAGGCCATTTCTGGAATCCTGTGAAAATAAAGACAAAGATGATGGGGAAGCCTAGCCCTCCACATGGTCCTCAACTTCTCCTTGTTCCTCTTCCTCCCAAACCTCTCACTATGGCACAAATGAAAGTATAGGCCGCTCAGAACCAGGTCTGCAGACCTTCATGACAGATGACTGGGGAGAGTCAGGACACGTGCTAAGAATAAACAGAGGAGACCGGAAATCCCTCAAAGCTGAGATAACCACTCTGACCATACACGTAACTTCCCTTCTTTCTCATTCTTTGATTATCAGAAGAGTTTGGCATACCAGCAACTTCATAGGGACTGACTCAAGTGTTGTGCGCCAATTTTTTCATCTATCTTTATCATCATCAACTAATATGGAAGTGCTTGTGGGCACAGATCACAGATTAGAGCTCTTTCTTCTACCCTCTGCAGTGCCCACTGGGGGGGGGCAGGAGGGGGGGCAGCAGGGGTCAATGCAGGGCAGAGGCTCACCCTCCAATGGCACAGCCAATCCCTCAGGAACGTCATCACGGGATTGGATAAAGGTGGCTACTCACCGTCAGGAGGATGTCTCCCTCAAAGAGGTCCAAGCCTTCCTCTAGATGTGGAATTCACACAAAGGATTACTTGAGTGAGCATCATAAAAGCTACCTCTCATAATAAAATCCATCTTTGTCACTACAAATCTTTAAAAATTCATTTTTATGTCTGAAATTCTTTCTGAAGCCATGTAAAATGTCCCTGTGGATGAATATGCATAGCAAATAAAGTATTACCTATTGTTGTATGCACTGTTTTCATTTGGAAAACAGTCAAACTTGTCTCAGAAGTTGATGGAAACGGACAGACAATGAGAGGATGGATGACATGGTGAATGTAAAACTGAGCATCTTCT